CAGCGACTTATAAAATTACGATAACGATTTTCTCGAGTTCTAATTTCTCGACCGGTCTGCCATTATGGCACGGATTAGATGAGTTGGGCAATCGTTTTTTGTTTTGTTTTTGTTTATTTTTTAGTCACTAGGTATTAAAAAATATAAGAAATAAAAAGTCAGAATTACATAATTATAACTTAAAGTTTATATTTCTCATTGACCAACATTTTGTTGTCAAGTTTCGAAGACATGAATTTTTCTTCTCCAGGTTACAATGAATATAGGAGAAAATTATTGTTAAACCAGTGGTGTTACAGAATGGCACAGACTTTCTTATACTAGTTAGTTTTCTTATTTTTTTGATCTGGCCTAGCTTTTCTGTCTTGCCATATACTTTTGCCAGCTGCGATCTATCTGCGCACAAAGCACACATTTACACGTACTCATTTTTTGAAATTTTCTCTATTATTCAGTTTACTAATAGAAGAACTGAAATATTACTGTAAGAATATTAAAGAAAAGTAAGCATCGCCCTATTTGTAAACTTTAATTGAAAAATTTCGAGCTGTTTTTGAGAAAATTGGGTTTAAGCGTTACTGTAAATGTGAAATTCGAAGCTTCTTTTCACAATTTTTGAGTTTTCGAAGAATCTTTAAGTAATTTGAATCACTTACACTCATAAATGCAATCATTCATACACATTGACGGCGTGAGTGATATTTAAAAAAAATATATTTGTGTAATTTTTGAAAAAACGGGATACAGCAAAATTAATTCTATGTCATATTAAACACTGCAATTAGCACTAGTTCGAAAAGTTTGGAGCCATTTTTGATAAATGCGTTTCTGATAATGATGAATTTTGAGCTCATTTTCACAGAATGTTTTGTTTCCGAAAAGCTTTATATGACATATTTACCCCTTTCGCGTCGCCGCCCGCTGTGTGCGGCGCGGTTTCCTGCTTGCGAATGGCGCGCTCTGGCAGCACGAATGGTCGAATGCACTAGAAGAAAATGCGCATACTTCCTATCCTTCTTTTGATATGCACTTTCATTTCATCAAAAGATGTATCATTCCATTGTGCAAGTTGCGAATGACATTTTTTTAGTGATTTTCAGTTCGTTTTCATAGAATATCTTCCTTTAATTAACAATTAATGGCGTTAACAATTCTGTGGGGAAAAAAAAACAAAAAAAAAAACAACCAACAACAACAACAACAGGAAATCCAAAATTGAACTATCTTCATTGATTCCTGTTTTGTTCACAAAAGAAGCCAATATTCGTATAGTTATGCATACAAACAAGAACAATATGCTACAAGAAATCGTAACACAAAGTACGAGTGTTAACTGCATACCCAAAAACCCTAAAGAAAGTTTTATTACGGTAATTAGGGAAGGGCCTCCTTCAAGCTGCGCACCAACCCTCCACGGGTGGCGAGGACTGCCGCATGCCAGTCTATCAGTTTACAAACATTTCAACTCGCAGCAAGAAGAATTTCCACTTCCGCACTCTCTAGATGGGTTCAAACTAAACTTCAAAAATTACAAAACGAGCAGATATCGCCACATGTCCTGAACCTTCAGGCTCTCAGCCATTCAGAGCGAGACAGCCAAGCGAAGTACAAGACTTCATCACAAGAAGTACAAGACATATAGGCGTCACTAGCAGAGCAGAAGGGAATGCGGGCGGAAGCCTAAAGGCGGCGTTAGAACACGGGGCACGAAAAAATCCAGTCGCCTATAGGCGTTAACAGTGAAAGGGTGAAGGTCAAGAAACCAACCAAGTCTGTTATTAATATATCTTATAACTTCCTCCGTTAACTTATTCGGGTTCGTCACAATGATATATTCTAAACTGTTATGAACCGAAAAACGCAGATCGTACCAAAAATAAAGCCAGAAATCAAATAATAATAAAAATAAAAAAAACAACAGAAAAACTACGAGCAGCATGCAACACGAATGACACAGACACTCAATGTGCGGCGCAACCGAGCAGTGAATAAATGAATGAAACGCAGCGGCGCGGCTCACGAACGAGCCTTTAGCAGCAATGGCACGGACTATGCGCGACCCAAATGTGAGCCAACAGCAGACTACGCACGGCTTGGTGAGACGTTAGCACTTAAAGGGTTAAAGCATATCAGTCATAAACACAAAATGCGAACGAATCGTCGCTAATGTACAAATTAACGACGTGAGAGACAAGTAAAAAAAAATTGTAATTTTTGAAAAAACAAAACCATAGTGCAATATGGCTTTAATGCCATCTTATTGAGTACATTTAACACTACCCCTATACCAAAAGTTTAAAGAAACAAACTGGAGCAGTTTTACAGATAATCTGGTGTTTTTTCTCACAATTGCACATAATCGAAAACTACTAAAATTTTCAAAAAAGATGCATGACACTGATGAAAGAACTAAGGAGAACATTTTACTTCAAGGAAAATCTCTCTTCAATTTTATATTTTTAGGAATACGCCGAAAAAATATCAAAATTTTCAATTTTCGAAAGTTCTCAGTGAACAAAAAAAGAGACCAATACCATCTTCATAAGTGTATTTTACTCTGTTTCAAAAAATTGGTGCTGTTTTTCAGAAAATGATCACACTGTCCGTGGGGCTTCATGTAAAGAAATTTTAAACAAAGTTTTGCCAAATCGTAGCGCCTCGAATCGAGTCAGATCGACTGGGGAATATCCATTAAGGAAAACATCTTATGGTTTAGGCGCGAGTGCTGTTCACAGACGGACAAACGTTTTGGAAAAAGAAAAAAAGAGTAGAAGTAGAAGGGAATCCCAAACAGTGTATTTCCGTTGAAATCAATTTTTCACGGCATTACATAAGTTTCTCTACACTTCGTATATTCCTCCATTTATACGTACGTGTTCAAGAAAGTAAAAAACAAAAACAAGTTGCTGACTTTGAAAGAAGCGATAACAATGAAAGCGAAATGAATAACAAAAATTTATTTTTCCCCCCCATTTCTTTTTATTGTTGTTTTTTAATTTTAGTCTTCTTACACTACCATCTACAAATTAATTGGCATTCCATTATATTGTATTTAGTATGAGAATTGAATTCAATTTTAATTTGTCTTCATTTAATTTTTAGAAATACCTGTATTGTACACAGTATAATTATACACATATCCTGATTCGTCATACATGTCATATGCTGTATTTATTTGACAAATATTATTAAACATTTAACTAGATAAATATGTATACCTGCCAGTTCAAAAGCAAAAGGAAGGAAGAGAAAAAAGTTGTTTAAAAGGAGAGTATTCCAAGAGGGACAGTATCCAATAACTTGTATATTTAATAAATAAATTTCTAAAAAGTAAGTCCTGGAACTCCTTGATCACCACTTTATAGACACACTACACCTAAATTTCTGACGTTTCATCAATTTTATTCAGTTCATACATCTGTTTGCTTTGAATCTTTTGAGCATTGCAATAGTTGGTTGAAATGCTGGACAACTACAGGGTAAACACATTCACAATAAACAATCAACTGTTACACAGAAATCTTATTATGTAATAGCTGATTTTTAATTACTTTTAAAATTTTAACTTAATTAAAACTTTCTACTGTAGCATTAGAGAAAGGGATACTTAATAAAGGTAGTATAGATTACTAATACATTTTAATTTCTTTTATCTGTTTTTAAATACAAGTTTGGTTTCTTAAGTATGATGAAATTAAATCTTACCTACAAAATCTTTCTGCTTCACAATTGCCACTACAGGATAAATATATTGTGATAAAACACCGAACCTGGCAACGCTGGTACACAGGCAGTGCAAAAATATAAATCCTAACCAAGAATAGCTTTAGTCTGCAGATGACTGTGTTTTTCGAATGAGATCTATAGGAAAAATCTCATTAGGTACACTAGTATTAAGGTTCTTAGTAATAACCAACAGTACATCAGATTGCCTTGTTAATTATAATTTGTCTATTACACAGCAAAAAGAATTAATTTGTGTTGAAATTTTTTTTTTTTTTAAATAAAAAGGCTTCACTTTGATATTGTAGATGAACACTAAATTTATCTACATAGAAAGTCCTTATTAAACATTTTAGGAAAAAACATTATTCAACAGAAAAGTGAGGAACACTTAAGTAATTTGAACTTCCTAAAACACTAGGCTCTCATGGGAATTGTTATGCTGTTTATAACTCTCTTGAAAAATTGAGGAAGGTTTTATTTCAAAGACATTTTTTTTCTTTTACTTAAGCTGCAAATCTGAGGTTACATAATCAAAACGTGTAATTAAAAAAAATTATAATAATTGTGTACAGGAATGAAGGAAAATCATATACTAATACATTTCCTGGAACATTCTTGAGTAATATTTTAATAAGCAATGAAATCTATGAAATTCATATTCCCACTTCTGTTTCCTAAGCACTTCATTCAAAATCAAGGTTTTGCACTTTTACATTGACACAAAAAGCTACATTGCATCTGAAGCTTTAGGACTCTGCAATAAAGCAAACTAAAATTTTACAAAGTATTGATATCCATTCTATTTATAAAATTCTTATTTGTCACAGTTGGAAATGAACAATTGTTGGATGAATACCAACTCAAGAGTTAAAATTGAGAATTTTTTTTGGCTAAATAGTATCAAAACATTAAATCTGAGCCTTAATAAATCCAGTAAACTCATAATTCCTTAATTATTAATTACTTTACTAAAGGAATAATTAAATTGCCAACACGTTTTTTTTTTTTTACTAAGAATCATTTATTACACTACTTTATATTGGTTTACATTTTTCAACCTCCTGAACAGTACTAAGAGAAAAAACTTGTTATTAACACATCCTTTCCTTATAATTAAGTAACAATCTTTCATACCAAATAATGCACTGTCAGAACACATTTTACTTGCAGGCCATTTAATACATGGAAACATCTTATATACATCCTGAGAACAAGCAAAGTGTTTTATTACTGTGCATGTCATTATCTAACACATGTGACTGATACAAAGATTGTTATCGCTTCAACTTCTCACTCAGATCATCAAATGATGGATCACTGATGTTCAACATTAAGTTGTTACCATTCAAGAATACTCTATTTTGAGAGCTAGCAATTGTTCTGGAAATGCTCTGGGCAGCTCGAATCTTTCTTAGTTTCAAATAACCAGGATTCTTCGCGACAGCTTGACCTAACATTTTGGCTGCCTCGGCTTCACCCTCAGCTTGAACGATTTTCTGTTGTCTTTCCTGTTTGGCACGTTCCACAACAAAAGCAGCTCTCTGTGCTTCTTGTTGAGCAACTTGTTTAGCTTCAACAGCAGCTGTGTACTCTTTACCAAAACTAAGTTCTGTAATAGATACATCATCCAGAATAATATTGAAATCTCTAGCTCTATCAATTAACTCCTTTCGTACCAAAAGAGAAACTTGTTGACGTTGTGTGATAAGTTGTGATGCATTAAATTTTGCAACAACACTTTTCAACACTTCATTGCAAATTGAAGGCAAAACCTTCTCATCATAATCCAGACCCAATTGCCGATACATTGATGGCAAATTTCCTGCATCAGGTCGAGACAGCACACGTAAAGAAATGTTAACCATTTGCAAATCTTTGCTACCAGTCGGTGAGGAAATTTTTCTGGGGCGAGAACGAATGTCATAAATAATGGGATATTGAAACCACGGAATTCTGAAGTGAAGACCTTCTGCATGCACCTCCTTTTGGATACCACCAATTCTACTAAAAATAATAGCACGATGACCTCCTTCAACAGTGAACAGCGACTGTGTTATTCCATAAACAGCAGCACCAGCCGCCGCAAGAATTTTTAGACCTGTTCCCACACCCTTCGGTCCTTTTCCAAAACGGCCAGCGAGATCGTTTAACTTGCTTTGGGCCATTGTAATCAATTAGTTTCCGGGAGAATAATCCAGCGTCTGATCTGTAAATATACACGTACTGGTATTAATGAATTTGCGTGTTCACTCATGCCGGCTAGAGAAATGCAAAACCCTCAACATAATTGCATCATATCATTACCACGAGGGAATAACTCCCAACATACACGCACCCCAAACTCGTAAATCAATAATTCGTAATTCAACTCGGAATCATCAAAAAATGGGAGAATTATTACTCACAATTACTAGCTGGCCGCTAACAGCAAATCCCAACCAAAGATATTTCACGGGACGCACGGTAAGACTCAGCGTTTCAGCCACGGAACAATATACTTCATTGAATGAAGGACACTAACACAGTAATGTATAGTTTCAGAGCACGGACATTGCACAACATAATGACTATTATTCCATGGTGAGGATGGAACAATCAGAGAGTATATAACAATATTCAATATTCATGATGCAAGTAGTTTTAACCAAACTATAAAAATATGTTCTGAATGACGTCACAACGTATGGCGGGAAAGTTAGTTGGCAACTTCTGTTGTGAACGTTTGCGATTCCTAGAGAATTACTTAGTTTTTGGCTGTATTATGCGGTTACTGAGGTGCGTATGACTTATCTCATTTGTTATTTACAATGCTTTTTGCTTTCTTTCGGTTTATTTGGGTTTCAGCTTCGAATTTCGTCGACAAATTTGATTTAAAAGAGCACGGCACTTCACAGAAAATGAACGGCGTGCCATTGACTGATGTTATGGTAATAAAATTTTTAGGTCTTCGAATTCAGTCAAACCTTAAATGGAACGTCCATTTAAATTAATTGAACACTAAATTAAATTCTTTATGCTACGGTTTCAGAATTCTTTGACATTCAGTCAGCCCCCACACTGCGTGTTGTGTATATTTCGCGAATGTTCATTACCACCTGAGATATGGCATAATATTCTGGGGAAATACATCTTATAGCTCCAAAACTTTTAGATTACAAAAAAGCGACGAATAATAAGCAAATCCCACCCCATATGATTATTGTAAGCATCTCTTTATTAATTTTAAGTGTTTTACAATTACCTAGTCTCTTAATATATGAATTAGTGGTTTTTGTCAAAAATGACTTACTTAAGGACGGGAATATATTTTCAGCAAACGCCGTTGTCTATGACTACAACACTCGACGCAATAATCATATTCATCCGGTAACAGTATCGAAAGCTCACTACAAAAAAATTCACATATAATACATGTACATTATTTTACAACACATTGTCAGATGACATTAAACGATTAAATTCGATACAAAAGTGTAAGTCCCAAGTAAAATCCTTTCTGCTGCACATCTGTTTCTATACAATTAGAGAGTTCCGAGCATCCAAAAGGAAAGTAGTATTAATTTTAACAATGACATTTAATGTATTACATATCATTTATATTGTATAATTGTAAAGAGCCTGTAACAAGTATTGTACTACAGCTTCTGAGTCAATGACCCCCCCATCTCGATGAGGTTTTCGTCCAGTTTCCCTGATCCTCGAGCAAATGCTGAGATGGCCCCTTGTTTTCCTTCTGGACATAAATGTAACTTCAAATTAACTTCTCCAATAGCACGTCACCCGCAGTTTTTAACTGTTTTTGACGTAAATAATTGAAACGGAAAACTTTAGGTCATTGTCCCTGAAGTAAAACGTTTTTTGTTAGATTCACAAACTAAGAAATTTGCCAACGCTGCAAAATGTACGATTTAAAAAAAATCACCTAACGCCGAAGCAATTTTTTTGGGAGTCTATCAAAAGGCATGCAACCGAATCAGTGCAGTCAAAATTTTGAAATTGCAAAATCAATGCTCGGCCAAATGACAGCGGATAATATATATCCTAAAAACAAAACTGAAATACTAGAAGAAGAACTGAGTGATGAAGATTTTTCAGGGGATGTCGAATATCCCATGATCTCTTTACTGAGTTTACCGAACATGTCGGTAAAAATTAATTAATGCGATATTTTAAATCAAATATAAATACTACTAACCGATTCTTTGATAAATTTCTGTTTTGTAAGTATGTGTTTTGTATTTTTCTATGCAATATTTAAAGAGCAAACTTACAAAGCGTTTTTGAGACGATTAAACCAACCTCAAAAATCTGTCAAAAAACGCTTTGCAAGGCTGCTCTTCAAATATTGAGTTGAAAAATATAAAACATGCACACAAATTACGGAAATTTATCAAAAAATCGAATGGTGCTATCTATTTTGCACAAATGTACGTTATTTAGTCGTTATTCCAGAAATATTAATTTGACGCCAATGTATAGAATTCAAACTTCGTATTTGTGTTCGACATCCTCTTAAATTGAAAGTTGTGTTAATGCTTGTTACGTTGTCATTTTTATATTTTAAGGGATGTCATTATTAAAAGTGACGTCAAAGTCGATTCTAAAATACTAAAAAGCCTTCTGTTCATTTGAAACGCCATTGTATATTTACTACTAAGATTTCGGTAAATTTATTAGTGGAGTTTTCAATAATGTAAAAGTTGTGTATAATCAGTTCGACTCTGTGTATGATTGAGTAAATAAAAAAAATAATTATTTGGTTTTGTTATATATTAAATGTATGCATACATATTAATAAAAGTTAAGGTTGTAAGAATCTTTATATGATATTAGTTGTATCCCCGCTGCATTAATTTTCCATTAGAAATGTCGTTAAAGAAAATAATTTAAGTAATATGTTTGAAAAAAAGTACGGCAATTTTTACACTATTTTTATTAATGTACGATAATTTGATAATAATAATAATATTTAATGAGTCCACATATACAATTAGCATGTGTATGATGAGTCAATATGATACCTTGGGTGGAGAGAGCGAAATTACATTACTGTTCAGGAGCAAACAAGGGGCATCTCAGCATTTCTCAAAGGACCAAGGAAGCTGAACAAAAACCTGATCGAGATGGGTCATTGGCCTAGAAATACAATACTTGTACAGAATAAGATATTATACAGTAGATAAATTATCTGCTGATAATTAACATTTCAATGTTATTTTAATGCTACTACTTATAATAAATAATAATTACATCATCATACATATAATTAATGTTTGGCAACACGCATCAAATTTAATAATAGTAGTACATTCTATATTTATAACTTGAAATGGAGAGGAGGCAAGTATTGACCAGTTTTTTTCTTCTATTCTCCTTCTATTTCACAGGATGCGATTTGCAGTTCTTTTTTCTTTTCTTCAGCTTGAAACAGAAAGTCTAATGGGATAAGAAATTCTTATTTATTTATATTTTTTAAGGGAAATTTAATTTAAAAATTCCTTTACACTGTAGAACATGTTAAGCAGGAAAGCTTTCAATTTACTTTTAAATGTATGAATTGTGTTCATGTCTTTGAAATCATTGCCTAGTTTGTTGTAAAGTGTAATGCCCTCTATTACGGTACTTTTTTGATAAAGTGTAGTTTCAGAGTGGGGAACGTGTAGGTTATCCTTTTGACGGGTGTTGTAGTTGTGTAAATCAGAATTTAAAATAAAAGTGTCTTTGTTTACCATGAGAATTTTCTTTTTGAAGACCACTATTTCAAATATGTAATGCACGGTAGAGGAAGAATCCTTAGTTCATTAAACAAGGGTTTGCAAGACTCCAGCTTATGAGTGCTGGTCATTGTTCGCAATATTCTTTTTTGGATAATAAATGTGCGAGTGCTTTCAGGGGATATTACCGCCGAACTATAGTTGTACGCATAGAGGAGAGATATATCTCTACTCTATGGTTGTACGATAATACATGGCGCAGTACGATATTCACTTTTCAACTATCTGGCAACACTGCAAACCAACGAGAATCATCGTAACGTACAATTGTTTAGATCAGGTTTTTTGGTAGTTGAACGGATATTAGGTTTTGCGGCTACGTCACGTTTACATATGCGTTGTGAATGAGGAAATAGTGGTGGAAATAATACCATGCTCACGGCATACAGCATATAAGTGCGAACCAGTTTGCGTGCCTAGAAAACTTTCCTACCGGCTCTATCCACTCTCAAATCAGACTTGCTTAAATCACTAGAAAGATATTATACAAGAGAAATGTCAACTTGTCATAGAAACTGGATAATAATTGCAAATTCATACAATTACTATGCAATGTTGATGTTGAAACATATTTTCCTTCAACAGTCATAATTCCTATCAGTAGTAGGCCTAACGAATGTACTTCAATAATATGTTCGAACGCATGCAAGAGATCCACTTTCTAAGATGCCCAGCTCTGACATCCAGAGCCAGCTCCTTTCACCCGCAACCGATGAAGAACATTAGTATATTTTTCCACTCCCATTTAAATGAGTAAAAGGGTACTTTTCAATTTCAAAAATTCCACTTATTTTATTAGTGTAGGAGAAAATTGTTTTTGGAGAAACTCCCTCATATAACACAGATAAAACATAAAAGTAAAGAACAATCATGATATTTCAAAATTATTTAATGAAAATAATTTCTTATTTAATTTTTTTTTCATCAGAAAAATATGAACAATCCAACTTTTGCATCATCTACTTCGTCTACTGATGATTATAATAAAAATATCCAAAATCCTTCGAAGGAGGAAATACAAATAATGGAAATATAAACACTGATCACAGAATGTGTTGTTATTTTTTTAAAAAAACATACAGTATTTGATACAATCATTCATTTCTGATTCATATGCAAAAATTACAGTCATATTATTAATCAATAACACAGTTAAGAAAGCATTTTGTGATTAAGGCATTTTACACATGAAGTAACTTATTAACAAAAACATTCTACTAAAGTACAAAGAATACACTCAGTCTTTAAGAATCTTTGCATAATATTCTAGTTGTGATTCTAATATATCAAGTTGAGAACAATCAATTTGAATACATTTATTTTGATCCTTAGAATCAGATGGAGAAAACACTTCAGACAGATTTGAATCATGTTTCAAGTCTGCTTTTTTCAATTCATCAAGTGCATTTAACATAGATTCAAAATCAGAAAGAAGTTTCTCATCGTCATCAATGCTAGGTACATCTCCCTCTTTGGCAGCGACAGGCAGATCTGAATCAATCGATACAGCAGGGGAGAGTTTGTCTGACAAAACCTCTTCACTGTGTTTCTGATTTGGAAGGCGATCTAATAACCAACCAGCATACCAAGGTTCTGACCGAAACTTCACTATATCATTTTTCATAAATACAACTACTAATTTCCACAGTTTTAACTTTCCAATTGTTTCTCTAATATGTAATTCTGTGAGAGATTCCACAATGAAAGTCCAATCAACATCTTCATCCTTGTTCCAACTTCGTAAAAAGTGATATATGGGACCACGTAATCTTGGATTGTATGAATAAACAGCTTCACAAAATGATTCAACTGAAAGTTTTTCTGTAGGAGGTACACAAATATTTAATTGAACTTGGGAGAATCCATCATTTATTTGCTTGCAATATTCTGGATTTTTCAAAAATATGCTACAGTTATATTTGTCACAGACAGAATGTTTTGCTAAGTCCTCAAGTTCAGGAGCTACATCACCATAATCATGCATTTTATCATTTGCAATCATTCTGTGAAGGCGTCTTAAAGCATCATTATACAAATGAAGGAGGTCATCAGGATGCTGAACAAAACCTGATGAACATCTGCAGGACAAGGAGAAACGAACCCGGGTCCACAAATCTCTCATTAACATTAAAAATACTTCTTTCAACAGCCAATATTCAAAAGGAGGGGCTGGTCTGATGTACTGTGTTAGCCAGGAAATTCCATCTATCAGCTCTTTTGAAACACAGACACTTTTTTTACCAAATGGACCAATGATTTTAAAAGCAGCTATTCTCTTTTTCTGAACATCAGAAGTAAACCACTTCTGGCACACTTCTACCCACTGAGAATTACTGATTATTGCAACTATAGGAAGAGGAAACTCTTGGGGAGAGGATGACTGTACCAAGCTTTGGTATCGCTCAAAGGCATTGTTTTTATTACGAAGGCGCTGAGGAGCAAAAAACAGGAGACCATTCACACCTTTCAGTACCTCTTTAACAACACCAACTGTTCTCTGAACGGAAGTAAATAAATTGTATTTTTCTCCAATAGGAGTTCTGTTAATTCTTAAAATATCATTGTCACTGTCTTCACAGAAGGTTGCAGCAATCCACTCATCAAGTTGGAGTCCAAATTTTTTGCCTTCTAATTCACTAGGAAGGGATAAGCACAACTTCCAAAACAGATTTGTCTCAAGGTTTCCTTTTTCGAGTTGAACCTTTGGTAAAACTGTACTTAGAACATTTTCTAACCTTATTTTGGGAATATCAGGAAAGACAGATGTTGGAAGTTTGATTTCTTCAAGATCTAGCAGGTGTTCTAATCTAGTTTGGTAATCCACAGCAACACAACCCTTAGGCATAGGGAGTTCATGGACTTGCTCTTCTAAAGAGAGTTTTGTTGTCACTGTGACACACTTTTCTTGTGATTGCAATCGTCGTTTGAGTTTTGACCTGTAGGCAAAGAGCCTCCACTGTCGAAATATCTCACACACTAGTTGTTTAATTCTATGGTTTCTTTTTTCCACCACTTCCTGATACGAAATTTTGGAGATAGAAGAGGGTTCTTTCCTTAAGTTAGAGGACCTAATGGGAGAAGGCAGGGACACATGTCCTCCAGTTGGTGACATTGCTTCTATCTTACCTAATTTTGAAGAAGCCAACTTTTCAGTATTATTTTCTTCATCTCTATCAGAAACTACATCTATAAAAAATTCACTGTCAGGCTCCGGTGAAATACTAGTTATCTCATTTAGAGGAGATTCATCACTAGTAAAAAGCCCTCCTACACACGGAGATAGAATGGGTATTGCAACATGTGAAGTTGTAATTGTTATGGGTTTATTCAATGAAAATGAAAAGTTATTAATAGCACTGGCTGGCTTGTCTGCATTAGGCATTCCAGGTATTAAAGTGGAATTTGATGCAGGTGTATTAAATGTGGTCTGATAAGAAACAATGGTGGATGAAGCTATATCTGAAGGTGGGAATGTTTGGGGAGTTGTAAGAGGTCTGGAATGCATGCCAAAAACTGAAGTTGAAACAGTTACAGCTCTTGTAGGTACATGAAGACTTTTCTGTGGTGCATCAGTTATTTGTTGAGACTGTATGGAAGGAGAAGAGAACTGCACAGAAGCATTTGGAAAAATGGCTTGAGTTCCTGTTAATGGGCTAACACTTGGTCGTGCATCACTTGGTTCCATTGAAGTTGGAGATGGTAGCGCATGAACCGATACTGGAAACTGATTTGAGGATGTTGAACTTACCTTTGCTGCCAAGGGATTAATAGGGGTAGAATCTTTCACAAAGGATTGCACAGATACCGGTAATGTTTTGGTTGAACTTTGGCCCCAAAAATCTCCACTTCTATTACCAAAAGATCCAGGAAACTGCAAAGCTGATGTTGGAGAAGATGAAATGAGATCAGGACTCTTGAACAAATTATCAGAATTCTTTTGCTGGGAAGAATCCATTCCCATATTATTAGATGCATCAATTAAGGTCATTGCATTTTGAGAATTTTGTTTACATACAACAGTTGTTTTTGCATCTTGGGATGGAGAAACCCAATGTCCAGATGTACTTGGCACAAAAGTCAACTGTGAGGTGTCCACACTGTGACCTGAAGAAGCATTTCTCAACACTGATGATCCAGGACTTCGATTCACAGAAGTGGCAGAACCAACACTTCCAAAAATGGATGTGCGTGATGCATATCCTTTTGGTACAATGCCTGAATTCTGTCCAGCTTGATTATCTTTCATTTCTGATTTGGCATCAGGTATGTGGAAAACAAAAACTTTCACTGAAGACTGCTCTTCAGAGGAAAAACCAAGATCAGGATTCATCGATTCTGAACTCTGTTGAACAAGAAGTATAGCACTTGATTCAACTTCAGACACATTAATAGACTCTGCACTTTTGAGAACTCTCTGCATTTCAAACGCCATATCAGGCATACGCGGACTACTAATAACAGGTTTTGGAGAACCAAAAGCATTTTTTTGAGTTTCTGAAGACACTGAATTCTGTGTTTGCTGTATACTTGATTGTGTAACCATAAAATGTGATGAAGGAACATGAGAGACATGTTCTTGCACAGTTGACACTTCACTCAATCCCGAACTAGGGTCTGAAGAAACTACCGTGTTCTTTGACAATGTGCCTATTTCCTGCAAATCTACACTAAGTAATGATGATTCTTGGTCCTCTGCATACCAAGCCTCTTGTTTAAGAACACCATTTTCATCAAAACTGTCATGAACTTTATGTAATGTTGCTGTGTCTGCAAGACAGCAACCTCCAGTTACAATGTCTCTAATCGAAGTTTGCCGCTTACACTCCACTCCTACAAATGAACGTTTCATCTTTTCTTGCATAGGAATAGGATGAGATGTCTTTTCCAATACAATGTTATTATCTTCCACAGGAACTTTTGAAAATCGGCAAAATACAAGAACATCTTCAATAGAATCAAACAGTAATTGTGCTTGAAGTTCAGGTAAGGGATAAGTATTTCTCATTTTCTGTCTGGAATAAGCCCGAATGATTGAAAGCATGGCATGTGCACGTACTTGAGCAAAATATTGATGTAAAATGCATGCGTTCAGATAAGTGGTCGATTTTACTAGTTTGAAAAATCTGACATAGTTTTTCATTGTCACAGCAAGAAAAGCATTTATTGCAAATTGAACTTTCTCATGCTGTCGCATTTCTGTTCTTAATCCCAAAATAGTGCTAGTGCATAAATCACTGTTTATATGTAACAAAATGGAATAAGCTTGAAATTCAGGCTCATTTGGACATGATACATTTTTCAGAAACAGATCATTGTACATGTACTGCAATGATTGTAAACACTTTGTCAGGTTTTCTCGGTTAATTTTCTCATCAAACACTGCCATTTTCTCTTCTCTTAATCGTTCCATGCAGAATATGTGGAATCTTGCACACATTTCTAAAATCTGAACTGACAATGTATCACAAAGAGCTAACTGTGTAATGTCCTTTCTAATTGATCGCATGCGATCCCACAAAAAGTGATACCACTCTCCCAAGTTTTCGCCAGGTGAATCAGCTAGGTCCATGAATTGATTGACAAGATAACTCATGGTCATCCATAACACACTGACAGGGCGCAAGTCATGTGGGAGTGGCATCTGCTGATCAGCAGAACTACGAGCATAAATCTTCACCATACTTCCAAGATTCACTTCTTTTGTCTCTTTATTATACTCGTAGTAATCTACCTGGTGACGAGCTATTCTCTGATACCGTTCTTTCTCAGGACACATATCAGGACATTTTCCCACATTCTTTAGTTGGGGACATCTTTGCTGATTGCTTCTAATTCGTATCAACTTATCTCTGGCTTCAAGTACAGCCAATCGGTCTTCAGCCGTTTTTGCTGGTTTTGACAAAATTGTCGCAATATCAGATACACCCACTTCATCAGCAGGGGATTTTCTTCCTCTGCTTGGCTCTTTTACACTCTCTGGAATTTCTAATTTTGGTTTCTGTGTCTTTGGTCTTACTTCTGTGTCTGCCCCACTCATACTTGCCAGTTCTTCACGTACCTCCTCTGGAAGATCTTCCACTGCAGGGCGCTTTCGATTGCGTCGTTCTTGATCCAGTTCTCCCCAATCCATAGGCCATAAATGATACTGCCCAGAAGCGATACCTGTAGGATTGTTCAGAGCATCTGGCTCATCGACAGGAGGCTCTACTTCCTGCACAATTTCATCACCTTCATCCTCTTCGTCCATCTCTTCCAAATCATAAGGCTTCATAACAGGAACAACATGGCTTTTCACTCCCTTCCTTGAAGGAGAATCAGCTCTTGCAGCCATCGCTTGAGCAAAAGGAGCCTGCTGTAATGAATGAGATTGCATCAGAGGCTGATTTGGCGCTTCAGGTGTCCTTTCTTCCATTTTGTGTCACCTTGTGTACACAAAATTACCCGAGATGAATTATCTGTCTTCAGGTTGAAGCAGCTGTATATTTTCATTTACATTACTGGCACCATTTTTTATGATGTTTCTAGAACAAAAAGAATGAACGCATTGTAAGCACAATTGCTGAAATCAGGCTACTAAATTTGTAACACACAAAAACTATTACTTTAGTTTGTAGGCTAAAAAATTATTAATGGGAACTGAATGGTGTATTCCTCTTAATGTGTGGATTAGATGAAATACTGCTCATAAAAGCAATTCTAGTCTCAGCAAAACCTAACAGGAGACATTTTCTTTCAGAAGTCCACTCCGGTTTATTCTGTCTACATTATATAACATGGAAGAAAAAAGAAAAATTGACGCAAATCAATTTGACAACCAGAAAAACATAAAAACACCTCAGTATTTTTAACTAGGGGGGCGGATTTTAACAAAATATATTTTTTTATTTTTCTTCTCACTTTAGAACAGCGTTGTTTAGTATAGCCATTACTTTTATTTTATGACAAAAGTAAACAAACAATTTTTAATTCATTTTTCATTGATTTCAACTAATAAGTCATTTCTACCTTTTTCTGTCATTTTTAATGCATTTTTTACAGATTTCATTGATTTTAATGGTATTTGTTTCAAATTATATATTTACAAGATGCAATAAATGTTTTCCACAAAAGTTCCTGAGTAGCCTCTTCAGAAATTATGTCAGCTCTTGTGAGTATATTCTAAGATTCTTGTGGTGCCCATCAGCACCATTGCCAGTTTGCCAGATTCTGGGTTAACAAAACACAGAGATAAAGAACAGTCCAAAACAAAAGTTTGTGAGCTAAGGTCACTTGCACAACTGGAAGAAGTCTCAATTACATCAGGATCATATCCAACAGCTTGAGCTGGTTTTGATCTCTTTTTTTTTCAATGCCATTTTGTTTTTGCTTTTAGGGCATTTTAAAAACATTTTAAAGAGCATTTTATTGATCACTTTTGTCAATATGTTTGGTCCTCAAAATCTGCACCCGTAGTAAAAACTCTTATGAATTAAAAAGTTCAACAATCTCAAAAACAACAGGATATGCATTTACAATTCAAATCATTGAAAAATAAGAATTATACTTCCAAAAGTTTCATACAGCACAATTTGATAAATCCTGTTTAAATTTTAATCTCTCTAAATTCATTATAATCAAAATCCGCTGAAATTTGGAACAACATTAATATTTTTCATTTTGAACTGATTTAAGGGCAGGGACGAAGAAAGTTTCACTCATCATTTTTTAATGGCCATCCTAATGTGCACGAGTATGGTACCTCAAGCTCATTATATTATTTTTCTTTTAATAATCAAATTACTATCACTCAAAATTAGAATAGAAAATTATTACATTCATTAAACAATAATTTGTAAAGCAAAATTTGAAAAGGAATAAAAAAGAAGTACCTTGAAGCCTTAGTTCCCCATAGTGGAAGGTTTCCTCCTCTCCAAATATGTCAAAAGCGAATAAAATAATAATTCAAATTTTCTTAACCAAAGCAAACTATTTATATTAGAAAAGCAATACATAATTATTAAGTGGATTTATATTTCAATTATATATTACTGCAGAATGGACTATTACAAAATTTCTGTCATTAACATTGTTATTACTTTTATCAAATCTGTTTCTATAATGCTTACACACTGATATATTTTACTTTCACATAGTATACATTAGAAATTCCAAAAGTTTAGCATATATGTTGCTAATATACCCACGTTGTCTTCAAGAAAGAGGATTATTGGGTAAATTAGAAATGGCAATGTATTCACAAACACACACACATACAAAACCTGCTTGAAAAAAATTAAAATTACAAATATTTGTTGAATTAATATCAGACATTGTTATCTGAAAAAGGTTTATGAAAATAAATTAAAACCACATTTCCTGCCTTTGTTTTTGCATTAGAATTTGTACAGAATGGCAACAAAAAGAGCAGAAGTTCATGAAAATACTTTTGTAACAAAATCTTTGTAATGTACAGCTCTCTCAAGTATCTTGGGGCAGTTATAAATCTCTTTTGGAATTACACATACTATTACGTAGTTTTTGAGTATGAATAATTACACAACCAAAATATGTTGGAAAAGTTTCATATACTGAATTGAACTGCTATTGCCTTTATTGAAAAATATGCAAAAGATTCAAAAAGCAACAGAACTTATCAAATCTAAACAGCATTTTTGATTCTAATAAAAAAAGACTCAATTCAAATGAATTAAATAGAAAGATTATAACTATAAAGGCTTAGCTATATTGAATTCTCTTGCAACTATCCTAAGTTTTTTAGTTTTTTTTTTTTTTTTAATAAAATTAAACATGTGGAATTTATCATGATTAAGAGAAGAATGTTGGTTTATTTTTAAATTTGTGTAGCAGGTATAGATTTCATGAAGGATATATAAAAAATCTGTATTAATAAACTAATTTATTATCATAAATTCTATAAAGGTGAATTAAGAGAAAGGAATTCCAGAACAGTAGGACACTGGGCAAAAATATCTCAACAGAAAGGAATAAACAGTATTGTTAGTGCTATCTGTAACAAACATAGTAGAAAACATCACCTGAATAAATTTAAAATTACATAAATATACGGATTTATAATATTCTATATCAAATTAATTTGATCAACACAAACTTGACATAGAATCAAGCATATAACTTGGACTACCAATAATTTTGAAATTACAATACTCTCCACTGAAGAGTTTCAAATGCATGTACACAGTGTTCTTTGATGAAGTTTGTAGATGGTTTACAAAATAATTTACAACAGACTACACATTGCAATAATCAAAAGGATTACATACATCCAGGAAAAGGATCAACTCTGTTTTTACGAAGCACAAACTTAATTTTTCTGTCCATGTCCTCATCATATATAGCCTTACATTTTTCATAATTTATTCTTCGTCGAGTTTGAAATGGCTTCTCGTAGTAACGTGTCCGTCGATACTGGTCCAAGAATCCTTCGCGCCCCAAAATTCTATTCAGGATCTTACAAGCTTCATCAACATTTCCATTTCTTACAAGAACAGTTCTTGAAATAAATGGAATGTGTCTAATTCCCATGCCTCAGAAGTTGTCCCAGCTGATGCTTCGAGAATACAATTCTGCACCAGAGAAAACAAAACAAAATGTAGAGCTTACCATTATTCATCACAAAGGTCATGTATCACATTAAAAGTAAAAACCACATTAGAATCAACAAAATTCTTACCTTTGCCTCATATACGTACAAAGTTACGGTCACGGCTGGGTCACATAAATACCAGGGTAGGGAAACTTGGCGGTCAAAACGGGGTAATGATTTTTGCGCCATCTACAACAGTTCCGACGTGAGCTAACTAAACCTCGTGAAGTCACCCTGCCATTTCAAAAAGCTGGCAATTGTAGGCGGTGTTTGGTTTTTCGTTACGTGAGGCTGCAAGCAGGCGAGGTGCTATCAATTTTATCGAATTTTTTCAGCTTTTTGTTAGTATGTAGAATGTTCGTGCATTGTAAGTAAAGTGATATGTCGCGATATTTATTTGTCATGTCTAAAACTTTGTTTTTCATATTTTGGCAGATGATATTAAGAAAACTGGTTGCTGACAAGTTACAATTGCTACGTATTTTCACCCTACCAGCACCGTGGAGGTTTTATAATTCATTTGGAATCTTGATTGCTAATAATTGTAATTGATTATTTAATTTTTGAAATCATTTACACCATGCAAAATAGTCTTAAAAATTCCGCTAAATCATGTAGTATAACCTAACTTGTACATGTCATTTATTCTGTTCTTATTTGTTTAAAAGTATTGTAGTTTATATTATTGTATGGTATTGGAACACGTTTTGATAATATGTTCATTGTATATCCATATATTCATTGTTTGCAATACCCTGGTATTCCAAAATGTCTAATTTCAAATATACATAATTCATTATTGTTTGGCATTTCTTAGGAATAGGTACACTCCTCATTAATGTATGATGAAAATGTAATTAAGTTTATTTGCTTAGGTGTACGAGTTACATTTCCATTCTGGAGGTGATCTTCGAGTTGCAGTATGATAAACTGGCAAGATACAAATGAAATTCGACTTCACTAACATAGAAGATGGAATTGGTATCAACAGTGTTTCCTACACAGCCCAGCCCCTGCTTGTTTGCTTCTCAAAGAACACTTTCAAAGAAATCTTATTACAAAGTGTGCAGTGAACATCTTTTTTTCCCTTGGGATGCTGCAAGTGCTGCTAGTCTCGATATTATAGACAAATATATTAAAATTTCGAGCAATCATTATTCGAATAATAATTGCCTTGTTATTTAGAAAACGTTTTCCTAACAAAGCAGCTGGAAATATATTAATAAATAATCAAAACAATTTTGAAGTGTGAACCAATTAAAAAACTTTCGTTTTCGAAGGTGTAAATAAAAAAACTGTGTAATAAATTAATATACGCCTAAATTCTAACGTTTATTTTAAAAATCATTAAGATACAGTATAATACTTTTTTATTCTGGATACTTTCTACATACTTCAGTGCTAAGAAAGGTTAATATATTAATAGATGATTTTAATTTAAATGTAGCCAATTTGAATTGCAAAAGAAACATCTGACAAATAATCTGTAATAATATTATGATATTATAGGTAAATCTATCTATTCTCTCTAGCATTTATACGTCCAAAAATTCTGTCATTATAAAATTCAGTATTGGTTACTGCCCCATGTGTAGAGTTGCCAATGAGGATAGGTTTGTTGTGCGGAACTTCTGTGGAAATATTGTCTATCGCATGCTGCCGTAACCAATCGGTATCAGCTCATAGCCAAAAGTAAAAAAAAATCTTTTATTGCTGCCCCTAAAAGAACGAACATAACTCTGTGCAGTTAGGTTATTAAAGTTTAAGATGCCTAAAACTAGGCGTCAGAAAACATAAAAATGTTATATCTTACCACAATTTATCATTTCAATAAGCATTTTTTTGTAAACAAATGCAAATTCCTCTTTTAATCACAGAAACACTGAAGGGCATTAATTTACCGCGGTATGTTATTAGTAAGCTACAGACAAATCAACTTGCCAAACCTAAACTAGGTATAATTATAAATCTTGTTTCATTTTTCCTTGCGTTTTGAAAGACCTTACAAAATAACAATGATCTGACTATTGTATCAAAATTACATTCCATTTCGGCTATAGAGTCACGCAAAAATTAAGGCTGGGAATATTTCATGGCATTGATTTATAGACAATTCTTTTTAAAAATCTTGAATTCTAAGTTATTTGGTTCAAATATTAAGTTAGGAGATGAGCTAAATCTTTACATAAGTTAACTACACCAAATTATTCATATTTCTTTAAACTTTTTCACATAATTGAAGAATTTCAGAAAAAAACAATGTTATATTACATTAACATGAGCATGCGTGTGATGAATGAAGCTTAACACTTTGGTACACAGTAGTTATTTACTTCTATTGGATCGATATATTAGTTCTTTATCTAGCATTTCATTGTCTGTTAGATAAGTGCCAATTTAAGAACAATACCACACACGAGCTTGTTTCAGAGAAATAACCACTGATAATCTTCTCAAGCATATTGTAATTTAGATTTGGAAGTAAAATGGTTATGCTAAATGCCACTAAAGTATAACATCTTAGAGAAGATAATAGCATTAATAAATGGAATTTTATGATCAGCTCTCACTTAAAAAAAATAAATATTGTTAACTAAAAAACGGATTAATCTTAAATTTTAACTAATACTCTTTTTTCTTGTATTATATTGGGTAAAATACATTTAAGTTGGCAAGGAACAGGACATACTATTAAATAGAATTTAATATTACACAACAAACTGTCTAATATTGTGTAATTTTGTGAAATAAGTTGTTTTTAACAGGTAAGAGGATTTTTTTTTGGATAAAGAATGTCTTTTTTCTTGACCCTGCTGACAGGTGTTGCTACAAGCTTATTCCAATAACGTGAACACATCAAGTGATGAAACTTAAAGTACTCACATTAGATTTTGTGGGTTAGCGGCAGTATTGCACCAGACCTCAAACCTGTATTTAGCTATCTATGTGAAAAAAAAACAACTTAAACAACAATAAGGAAATGATACATATTAAAAAACTTCATGTCTTTCAACTTTTTTCTTCGCCTTTTAAAGTAATTAAGGATAACGTAAAATCACTTTACAATTTTGGTTTTAAGTATACAACATCTAATACGAATATTTTAAAAATATTATATTAAACAAGTATCTGAATACATAGAAAAGCAGATAATACTGCTTGCATAATCTCTACACAGCGCACAATAATTCCAACAACTACTTGGAAAATGCGCGCCAAAACGCAACAGCTGCGCTATCTGCACCAGGTCCGGGTGAGTGAGGAAACAAACTTAGTCCCCGCCTTTTAACATTGAGTGAACCGGCCCTGATAAATACCGATAAATACACACAGCTTCAAGTTGTTTCTTCTTTGATGTAGAAAGAATAATCGGAATAATCATGGAAAAATCTAGTTCCATAGAACGCCTTTGTGGTAGGCAGTGCACGATGGCAGCGCTCTCTGGAGTCTCCCGATAGTGTTGATAATAACGATGATGATGATGATAATAGTAATAATAATAATAATAATAATAATAATAATAATAATAATAATAATAATAATAATCAAATTAAGGTTTGACCAATCGACATTAGTATATATTTGTGTGTGTGTGAATAATACTAGCGTACCGAGAGTACCCGTGCGAGAACTCTCCAATGTTAATCCCCCCTCCTTCCCTATCCATTTCCCTTACCTTTCCGTTAAGGAAAGTTGTTAACGAAACTTGTTTATTTGTTTTAAAAAAATGTATAAATGTAACATCGTACTTTCACAATATCAAACAAAAATAAAAACAAAGCAATTGACATGGGTAACATATTTTCAATAAAGGTTTATTCAGTATATAACTTTTCGTTTTCCTTGATAGTCACAAAAATATTAGAGTAGGTTTTTACTCTTGAGAAACCCAAGTAAAGTTTTCCATGCGAAAATACAGGATCAGTCAAGTCAATCCTGTCCTATTCTTTGCAATATTATTTAACTTTCCTGGATATGTTATGAGGTATAGAGGGGGTTTTGGAGCGGCAGGGCGCCAGGATGCTGGGATGAGAAAATTGATAAATTATTTGTATACTAAAAAATATTGGATTATTTCCTGTATTCTTACGTACCTCAAAAAAGCAGTTCTGAGTCAAAAAATAATAAAATTAATATTTTCATCGTTGAGTAATAAATACCATTTGGTACTATTAGAAACAATTCGGTACGCATTGACTTCACTTCGGTACATGGGAATGTTGCTCAAATGATGTTTACGTATTGAATATCTAGCGGACCGACACCTTAAGTTTAATATAAGATGGTGCATTATTTACAATATGAGTTTACAGCTGGGAATTGATGTATGTAAATGATTGGGGACTTCCAGATACCGCCAACATTTAAATCGTGCGTCTGGATAGTGATCGTTGGCAGTTGTTGCATGACTTGCGCTATTCTTTCTACAATTTTAAATTTGGTTGCTTTTTTAAAGTAATTCACGTAGTATTGTATGCGAGCACGTTTTTTTTGTTGATTCTTTATTTCAAGCTCTTTTTACTTTAGTTCATTAAAAAGTTTATTCCTTGTGTTGTATCATAGCACAAGTTTTCTCTACTACTACTGTAAATACAATATAACTCCGTGTACCCATGCGAGAACTCTCGCATGTTAAATCCCACATTCTTCCCTATTCTTCTATTTTCATTCTAAGAGGAAACCGTTTTTAGAGAAAATCTTGTTTTTTTTTAATTTTTAAAATTGCACAAATTGCACGCAATTTTGCGGGAAAACTACTAAAATTTTAAAAAAATGACCTTAATAAAAGAAATAATTATGGATAACAATTTTCATTTGAAGTAAAAATCTCTTTCTTTAATTTTGTAGTTGTGGGAAGACTCCGAAAAAAATTCAAACTTTTGAAATTTTCGAAAATTCCGAGTTAATCGCGAAAATAGGACCTATGCCATATTCATAAGTGTATTTTACTCTATTCTTACAAGAAATGTAAATAAATTT